ATTTGCTGTCATAAAGACGTGTTTATTCGCTGTCTATTTCACATAAGTTAAGCTGTGTTCAGTCAGTCATGTTTTTATGTAAAGATTACTCCCAAGAAAAGTCAATCATATATTATGTGAGTAAAACACTTACTTCTCGGAGGAAATGAAGTCAGATCATATTCATTAATTTAGTTAATTCTGCCGCTTTATACACCTAAAAATTGGTAACCTGCTTGCTAAATTGTTCCCTTATTATGCTATTTCAATGTGATTTAACCTATAAAAATTAGTTTTGTTGATACAAATGTATTTTGTTTGATTTAATGATTAGTCTGACTTGATTAAAACCAGTTAACGAAGGTGTTTCTATTTTTAGGCTACCATTTTTTGTCAGTTTTAAAGGCTCACTGAAGTGTCTTGGATCGCGCAGCTCTGTTTGATGCTTCAGCGCAGTCTCATCCCAAGACGTCATATATCTGACGTCTTGGGATGTCTTTTGACCATACGTCAACATTCGCCTTTTTAGGGTACCCTTAGATGACGTTATCTGATCCTAACCCTACCCCAGACCTAAACCTACACCGTCACCTAACCGACGTTAAAGGTAAAGCGTCAGTTGTATGACGGCCCGGGATTATCATGTAACCGACGTTTAAGGGTACCCTAGAAAGGCGGATGTTGACGTATGGTCAAAAGACGTCCCAAGACGTCAGTTATATGACTTCTTGGGATGAGACTGTGTTAGATGCTTTGACATAATCTCCACTGAAACAGGAAGCTAAGGCAGGACATATTTAATGGCTCCTCCCTCTTTTCAAACAGCCGTTTAGTTTCCCTCTCAGACCGACAGCACCATGGAAGCGAATCCGAGCGCTGATGATACGCTGGATTCAATAGTAGAAGTGTGAATGAATTCGAGTCATTTCATTCGTAGCCAACGTACAGTTGGAAACGGGATAAAACTTGAGCGCTTGAGCAGCCGAACACACACTCCAACACATAGCTCTGTGACGTGTCAACAGTAGCTACAGTAACAGTAGCAAGGGGGTAATCCATCAGCCGGAAACTGAAGTCTCCCCGGGGGCCGTCATTAGCTAGCAAGCCTTTACCTGCTGTTAGCATTCCATTGACTCCCATTCATTTTGGTGTCATTTTGACAGCGAATAACTTTACATCTGAGACGTTTAAAGAATCCATTTGTCTGTTGTTTATTTCTAAAGAAATACGACAATGTAAAAAAGGCTCCATTACCTTGTATCTTACGTTATGGCCCGGTAGAAGCAGTGTTTGTAAAAATAGGCTAACGATTGCACCATAACATGCGACTCTCCGTCGCACAGTTGAAAAATTACCGTATAGACAGGAGGAGAAGCTCATGTCAATCGGGAGGACGTGGAGGCATAAAGTCAAGGGAGAAGCCCATAGAGAGTCCATAAAGTTGCTCCTGCTGCTCATGGACAGTTAATACTCATGGTCTCCGGCTCTGCAATATTCAGAAGGAAATGATTCAGATTCCTCTTGGCACAGCTATTAGAAGACGTACAACTGTGAGACAGGTTGCTCACGTCACATCTATGTCGTCAAGCTCAGTTTGAGTCTACGCAGTCGCTCAGCCATGAGGAAGTGAGTGCTTCTAATTGACTTCACTATTCTCTGTTGAAGTCTATGGGGTTGATGTGTCCATTTCTTTTACTGTCTATGGGTGTTTATAGCATAGGGTTAGTGCATAGCACTAGCATGGTTTATAGGGGTATAACTCGACATAATCAAAGATGACTTGCGACTCGACTTAGAAGAATTTGACAACACCGACTCGCGACTTGACTCAGACTTGAGCCCTGTGACTTGGAAAGACTTGACCTACCTTCTAAAACCACAGATCAGAGTTGCAATAATCACTGTAGTTTAGCAAATGATCTCAGCACTGCTTTCACACGTTTGACACTGAGCCAGAGCTAAGCTAAGTTGTTAGCTAAGTTATGAACATATTTTAAAAGCCCTCCTGATATAAATTATATACATTTCATTTACTATAGTAATTAACACAGAGACACTAATTTGTGCAAAAAGTACTAATGACTTGTTTAAGACTTGAAGCTTAAACTCGAGGACTTGCAACTTGACTTGGACTTGCCTGACTTGACTCGGGACTTGATTTGGGACTTGCCTGACTTGACTTGGGACTTGCCTGACTTGACTCGGGACTTGACCTTGGACTTGTCTGTCTTGACTTGGACTTGCCTGACTTGACTCGGGACTTGACTTGAGACTTGTCTATCTTGACCTGGGACTTGCCTGACTTGACTCGGGACTTGACTTGAGACTTGTCTATCTTGACCTGGGACTTGCCTGACTTGACTTGGGACTTGCCTGACTTGACTCGGGAGTTGACTTTGGACTTGTCAGTCTTGACTTGGACTTGCCTGACTTGACTCAGGACTTAACTTGGGATTTGCGTGACTTATCTCGGGACTTGACTTGGGACTTGTCTGTCTTGACATGTACTTGCCTGACTTGACTCGGGACTTGACTTTGGACTTGTCTGTCTTGACTTGGACTTGCCTGACTTGACTCAGGACTTAACTTGGGACTTGCCTGACTTATCTCGGGACTTGACTTGGGACTTGTCTGTCTTGACTTGGACTTGCCTGAGTTGACTCGGGACTTGACTTGGGACTTGTCTGTCTTGACTTGGGACTTGCCTGACTTTACTTGGGACTTGACTTGGACTTGCCTGACTTGACTCGGGACTAGACTTGGGACTTGCCTGACTTGACTCGGGACTTGACTTGGGACTTGTCTGTCTTGACTTAGGTCTTGCCTTGGTACTTGAATGCAAAGACTCAAGACTTACTTGTTACTTGCAAAACAATGACTTGGTCCCACCTATATAGCATGGAGCATTAGATTGTAGAAAGCATTTGATTTGACAGAAGATGTGATGAGAAGCTGAAGCCCACGGTGATGTCATAAAAATCCACTCTCCATTTTAGTGGAAATGAGGGACAGTACGTTTTGAATGCTTATATCTCCTAAATGCATATTTTGTCATTGTTTTGGAACACACCAGCTTATTCATAACCTTATGGCTGACATATTCATTCTACATTATTTCTAAATATTCCATTTAATAATACTAAATGATTTCAGGAGGCATTTTTTTATTTTTTCCCACTCACCACTGACTTGCACGCACTGGATTGTGGAATAGGCACTGAAGGATGCTTTATGCTGTCTATGCTGTCTTCAAAAACCATCCAGATGAAGGCAGCTCAGCAGACACGAGGTTATGCAAATATTGGATTTGGACGTGTACTCTAGCTTTCAGACACAGCTATCAAATTGAGATTTCATGCAGTTGTTCTGTGAATGTGAATGATATTACCCATCATTCACTGGCTCCTTAATTGTAGAGACAAACACACTCTCTGGAGGGAAATTGCCTTTGATTGTAATGCTCTTCTGCTTTATTTGATCACCATGTTGATCTTCTGCCATGATCAATGTAGCATATTCTGTAAAATATGGCTTCATGTTTTTTAAACACACATTGTGTGGCACTATTACAGCGCATTTTCTGCCTTCTTCAACTGAATTCCAGGTGGTTAGTAGTGAATGAGACCCAGGAGTATGCACCGAAATGCTACATGCTAATGTCTCACGGCTGTTTAGTGAATCCCCTCTTATCTCGCTCGCCCACTCTCCCCTTCTCTATTTCAGGCTCTGCTTTTCTCTCGCATTCGCACAAACACACAGTGGCACACATGTTAACACCAGCCCTGCAGTTTGAGGCTTTCCCTCTAGAGATGTCAGGTTGTCAAATCTCACCATCCACTGTCAGAGTGAAGACAGGAAGCAATCCAGATAAAACATTTAGCCTCGGTGTATCAGAAAATTCATTTCCCAGTCACCAGTTCTAATAATAGCTCTCCTGGGAGGCAACATGTAGATTAACACTATTGTTTCAGTGTTGTTGCTCTATTCCACGCTAGGAAATCTCTGTCTTGTGTGTACATTTGTAAATAATTTCTCATAGAGATGCACCGATACAAAATTTGTCTCTAAAACATGCCTACACTGAGGCGCTACAGTCATGTACAGTTATGTCACATTTAAAATGCCATTTATTGTTTGATTTCCGTGATAAAATGGACTGAATTTAAAAGCTGAGACTTTGTTTCTTATCAGAAGTAAAGCTCAGTGCTCTTTGCGATTGGATAGGAGATGATACAAATGATGTTTGATGTAGGAAAAAAATCGCAGACCTGCAACCCTGGCTTGAACTACAGGTGATTCGTTGGGTCAAACAGAGCTTTAACACTGCTACTAAATGTTAATCTTAAATGTTAATACGTTAACTTTGACACCCATAAATTCAACAGCAGAGATTATTTTATTTCCCGCCCCTTTTAATTGACAGGATATAATTGGCCCTCATCATTGGCTGTTTTTAAACAGTCGCTGCAGATTATTGGCCAATTCATCCCTAGTTTATCTACATACATGTAAATACAGGTTGAGTGCAATGATTGGTCAACATACCATCAGTACAGTATTCTACATTTGCCTTTATTAGGTATTTTTAATGGTGCAAAATACTACAATAACAATAGTTTCCTTGTTATAAAGAAAATTTGAGTGGCCAGGCAGTCCTTTGCATTTGCAAAGGTAGTCACAGTGTTTTGGGGAAAAAAAAGTGCTATTGCCAAGGTTTTAAAATCAAAAGAGCCGATTCTTGTATGAAGTCTCTATGATATTCTGGTTTAAAGATATGCCTTGAGTCCCACATTCAAAGTGAGTCTATGGGGTTTTTTTCATTCGTTTTATCATCCACCAGGCAAAAAGTCAGAAAGTACGCCTCCCCTCAGATAGCCACACAATGTGAAGTATCATTCTAATCCATTGCAATAAAAGATGTGAAACAAGATAAAACCCACGAATTTGTCTGACAAGAGGCTTCAGAAGATCCCTCAGATACTGCAGGTTTCTCAATGCCATGTGTGCTCACTGTGTTACAGGGTTTCTCAGCACAGGAGACCAGGCTGCTAAAGGGAATTATGGGATTCTGGATCAGATCCAAGCTCTGCGTTGGATAAGCGAGAACATTGGCTATTTCGGCGGCGATTCCAATCGCATCACCGTTTTTGGATCAGGAATCGGTGCCTCTTGCGTGAGCCTTCTGACCCTGTCCCATCATTCTGAAGGTAAGGAGGGAACATTTCATTCCACAGGAGAACAAGTAAATCAAAATCCCCTTAATACTCAACTTTGCTAAATGTTTTTTGCATTATACTGCAAAGTGAAAATTAATATTGCAAGTTAAATACGTAATCTGAATAATTAGCAAGGAAAAGATGTTTTTTTTAATACGATTATTAATTATTCGTATAATAATTAAAGAATAACTTTGACCAACCAATGTCAGCACATGATAAATCCAGTAAACCTGGTTGTGCACCAAAAATCCAGAAAGGGACATGGATGTCCACAGGATTGACTGGGATTTACTTTTGTAAACTGTATACCCACAGAAATTACACAGAAACCAGAAGATATACACTCTCAGAAAAAAAAAAAAACGTACAAAAGCTGTCACTGTACCATTTCAAAAGGGAAACTTTTTTTTCCATTTTAGGTGCTAATATGAACATTTTAGGCGCTAATGTGTACATTTAGATGGTAATATGTACATTTGAGGTGCTAATGTGTACATTTTAGGTGCTGTTATGTACATTTAGGTGCTAATATGTACATTTTAGGTGCTAATGTTTACATTGTAGGCGCTATTATGTACATTTAGATGTTAATATGTACATTTAGGTGCTAATATGTACATTTTAGATGCTAATATGTACATTTTAGATGCTAATATGTACATTTTAGATGCTAATATGTACATTTTAGGTGTTAATGTGTACATTTTAGGTGCTATTATGTACATTTAGGGGTTAATGCACATTTTGTGCTATTAAGTACATTTTAGGTGCTAATATGAAATTTTTAGGTGCTATGTACATTTAGGTGCTAATATGTACATTTGAGGTGCTAATGTGTACATTTTAGGTGCTTTTATGTACATTTAGGTGCTAATATGTACATTTCAGTTGCTAATGTGTACATTGTAGGCGCTAGTATGTACATTTAGATGTTAATATGTACATTTAGGTGCTAATATGTACATTTTAGATGCTAATATGTACATTTAGGTGCTAATATGTACATTTTAGGTGTTAATGTGTACATTTTAGGTGCTATTATGTACATTTAGGTGTTAATGCACATTTTGTGCTATTAAGTACATTTTAGGTGCTAATATGAAATTTTTAGGTGCTATGTACATTTAGGTGCTAATATGTAAATTTTTGGTGCTAATGTGTATATTGTAAGTGCTGTTATGTGCATTTAGGTGTTAATATATGTACATTTTAGGTGCTATTATTTGCATTTTAGGTGCGAAAATGTAACATTAAGGTACCAATATGCATCCTTTAGGTACTAGTGTACCTTTTGAGGTACAGCCCCAGTGACAGCTTTTGGACCTTTTGTACTCCATCAAAAAATGCTTTCCATTTTGCTAATCGAGGGATGTGTTAAAATGATACGTTGTAATCAGCAGCCAGTTATATTTACCTCCTATGATTGGTTTCACACAATAGATATGGACAAAATTTACTTATTCATGGTTGACTTAACTGTTTAACACATGTCCTATAAATCCATGGTGGACAATATAAATGATAGATGTGTTGCAAATGTGTTGTTTTTCTGTTGACAGCCTGTTACATAAAACACTAAAGTGCTTTTAATTGATGCCAGCAATACTTGGACTTTCATCCGACAGTAAATTGCAAACAAAGTGTGTAAATTAACATGCATAGTTATGTATTTATGCAGCCGTAAAGAGGTGGCAGTTTTTCACAGGACTTACCAAGGTTACATTTATCATCTTAGGAGCTGTAGCATTTTCATTTCGACGAAGGCGACTCTAGATGTAAATCTAAAACACATTCCCAAGACGCTTTTCTGAGATGTGTGACACAATGATGGGAAAGTCAATTGACTTTGTGGGTTTCCATGATATGACATCCTATTGACTGTTGAACTTCAAATGGTTGAATCATAAAACATGAGACCAATGTTAACTGTAAATATCAATTCTTTGAGATAAATATGTACAAGCAACACATATATTATATGAACATTTTAGGCGCTAATGTGTACATTTAGATGCTAATATGTACATTTGAGGTGCTAATGTGTACATTTTAGGTGCTGTTATGTACATTTAGGTGCTAATATGTACATTTTAGGTGCTAATGTGTACATTGTAGGCACTATTATGAACATTTAGATGTTAATATGTACATTTAGGTGCTAATATGTACATTTTAAATGCTAATGTGTACATTTAGATGCTAATATGTACATTTTAGGTGCTAATGTGTACATTTTAGGTGCTATTATGTACATTTAGGTGTTAATGCACATTTTGTGCTATTAAGTACATTTTAGGTGCTATGTACATTTAGGTGCTAATATGTACATTTTTGGTGCTAATGTGTATATTGTAAGTGTTATGTACATTTAGGTGTTAATATGTACATTTTAGGTGCTATTTGCATTTTAGGTGCTAAAATGTAACATTAAGGTACCAATATGCATCCTTTAGGTACCTTTTGAGGTACAAGCATTTTGTGTATTGTTGTAAGGCAGTACAATGAAGTTTTTTAAATGCTAGATATTCAAAGTCGTGATGTTGTACATTTTGTGATACTACAAGCAATTGATGTTGTGTCAGGTAGTCTGTTGGAGACTATTGTAAAGATAGCCACTGTAATTCTTTCACTCGCTCTCTTTCTACATAGGTTAATAGTTGTGTCTGGGTTTCTCTATTAAGTGATCATTGAAGTTTTAGATGAGGTCTTTGCTTGTTTTTACGCTTCACTTCCTGCTATGAATAATTTTGCGTGATTGTTTGCACTAGATAGATTGCATCAAAGCGTTATTAATTGCTTTGATTTACTTTGGATTTAGATTGATTTCCTTTACCATAAATGGATTTTCTATTCACATATTCATTATTGCCAAGCTTCATGTAGCATGTTATTATATAGTCACATCAACCGCCTCCTTCCTTTCTCAGTAAATTGGATATTACTGATGCTGATGTTTCCCCTGAATAGAACTATATTCCCTTCTTGGTTTGAGGAGATAAAAAAGCAGTATTGGGGGAGCTGGGTTTTACTGACAGCCTCTATAAACCTTGAAAATTGAAACAGGAAACCTGCTATTGCAAAAAGGGGTACTCGCAAGTGTTTCCAATATCAATCAGCTCACAGCAAGGGAAAGCGGCCTAACACTAATGGCAAGGCTTAGAGGAATGCTGTCCTAAAGTATCCATCTACTATTTTTATAAAAATGTAAATGTCACCATAATGAGAAGTAAAGTTTCCTTGGTCAAACGATGACTACAGTGTAACGTGGTGCTGTTCGGTCATTTTTTACCCCCTACATTTTTTTAGTTGTTTTATTTTATTTTTTTACTTATGGGAATGGTACGAAACTTGGTTTTGGCACTTACTGTGTGAACAAAAATAAAATCATGGACATGATTCGAACAGGTCCTGAAAAAAGTATCTCACTTTTTATTGTTAGCGGTCAAAATAAACAGTTTGGTACTGTGCGCAAACAAATTATTACTATAGATATCAACCTCAAATTTGCAACACTTCTTGTTTAGATGTATGGCTTTGATTTTCTCATTTCACATTTTTCAGAACAATAACTGTAAATGAATGTCAAGTTCACCTTTTTTCAACATTTCAGCAATAATATGTAAAGTGTCATATTTAAAAAGTGACCAAACTTAAGTCAGGATTTATGTCTAAGTTGGAAGTTTCATTTTCAGGTTCAAGCTCAAAAAGTTAATAAATGGATTATAACGTGATTTAGTACAATGAAATACCCTTAAAGTATACAACATATTAAATATAAAACATTATTGAACTAAAATATAGCACAATCATTTAATTCAGAAAAAAACAATCTCATTTTTGACCAACAGGCCGAATAGTACCAGAGAGTTAAGCATGATACTATATGGGAGACAGGTGAAGAAACATGTTCAACAAAGTGTTTGTGGTGATGTCCAGGTGGTCAAGAACTCAATCATGGTGTTGAGAAAGATTTCAACTTATTTTTAGTTGATGTGCTGGTAAGCAAAAAAAAAAAAAAATATATATAAATATCTTTGCAAGCTACGTGTGCGATCTGGGAATTGATCGTTCTGCTAATTGGCAAAAAACACAGTTGCCCTTGGAGTAGAGCAATAAACATCCTCTTATGATTCATGCACTGCCCAGCAGCTGGACAAGACAAATCTAAGGCTGAAATCCCTCTGCAGGCGAATCCCACCCACAGTGCAAGAGCCATTCACATTTCCCCTGACCCTGATCCCCAGGAAAACACAATTACCTGAATCCCATCATCTGAAATACCAAAGGCCTGGATCAAAAAACACTTCAGCTCTCTCCTCGCAGTGCAGTGCAGTGTGTGAGATTGAGTGTGATGCTTGTTTGGCAAGTGTGTGTATTTGTGGTGGTGTTAATGAGGCCACTGTGACCTGTCTCCTCCTCGCAGTCTGGCTCATCATCTTATGGGGCCTGCTGCTCCCACATGGAGCTCGCCCTGTCTGGGTGTGTGGCAGGCCAGGAAAGAGGGCTTCATCTATCAGCCCACTCCACCGCAGGAGTTAGCCTGCCCGCCATGCCCCTGCTGTGGGATGGATTGCAGATGCATCCCACTGTCCTCCTCCATCATCAAAGTTTAAGGGCAACCACCTGCCTCGCTTCTTCAATGGAAATGGGGACCTTATGTAAAGGGAGAGGACAAAGGTGGTTTCTGTGTATAGAGTTTTTGTGGGTTGGGGCTTGAATGTGATCACATGATCTTACGTTTCTGTATCTGTAAGCATCCCCTATTGGTGATTTACACAAGTGGGACATGTTTCGGTTTCAACATCCCTTGTTGGTCCTGGTCATATTCACTGTCATTGTCCTTGTATTTGCTGGTTGGTTTAGGACATCCTGGAAGGCCACCTTTCTAAAGAGTGTAGCTCCTGGTTTAGGGTTGTTTTCAAAGCTTGCAAAACTCTAATCAACCAGACTACACCTTCTGGTTTTAGAGTTAGTGAGAGGTCCCGCAA